TAGAGAAGCAGTGGGAGGTTTGATATACCTGATGACTGGAACAAGGCCTGATATAGCATTTGCAGTTGGAGTGGCTTCAAGAAATCTCGAAAGTCCAACTAAAGAAGATATTGTCAGGGTGAAGAGAATTTTCCGTTACCTTAAAGGGACCATTCACTTCGGACTGAAATATTTGTATGGAACTGGAGGCTACTTGAAGGCTTTTAGCGATGCAGATCATGCTGGTGATTCATCTACTGGTCGTTCCACTACTGGAGTTATCTGTATGTATGCTTCCTGTGCTGTATCCTGGTTGAGTCAGCGTCAACCTTCTGTATCCATCTCTACAACTGAGGCGGAAATAGTTGCCGCAAGCGAAGCCGCTAAAGAAGTTGTATGGTTGAAACGACTCTATGAAGAAGTCATTGATTTGAAAGACATTCCCTGTGTGATGGTGGATAATGAAGCAGCAATAAAACTATCGAAAAATCCCGAATTCCATCGGAGAACAAAACATATCCGAACGAGACATTTCTTTATAAGGGAATTGGTATGCGACGAGATATTAGACATCAAAAAGATATCCACCATACTACAAGTTGCTGATGCTTTGACAAAGCCCGTTTTCAAGCCAAGGTTGGAAAAACTTAGAGAACATATGGGACTAGTCAAACTGGCAAATGAGGGAAGGTGTTGAAGATTACGAGCATTATTAGTTTGACTCTGTATATTCATGAAGTAGTTCATTTTATATTGATAGATGGTTGTTGTCAAAGTCAGTATAATAATAATAAAAGATAATTTGTCATAAAAACTATCCGTTGTGTCAGACTCTAATAGCTATTCAAATAGCTAGAAGCGTTATTTTGCTATAGCCCCATCCACAGCTTTGCAGATGATAGTACCCTCCATACTGCGTTCTCTTCCAGAATTCCCATTTCTTCCCAGGAAACTAAGAACTCACGGCGCAGGCAGGTCAATGCTGTCAATGAGGATCTTGCTGAAATCACAGCCTGGGGAACGAACAACCTAGTTGATTTAAACGCCACCAAAAGTCAAGCCTGCATTTTCTCTAGAAAGGCGGAACTCAGTATGCCCGATATTGTAATGTCTGGCTCCACCACCCCCACCAAGCCCACCATATCTATGCTCGGTATTCCCATCAGCAACACTCTTTCATGGGATAATCATGTCAGATCCATCGCAAAAGCTGCTTCACAAAAACTCGGATTCTTGTTCCGTGCGAAAAGCTACTTTACACCTCAACAGCTTCTCATGATCTACAAAGCGCAGATACGGCCTGTTCTAGAATACTGTTCCCACATATGGGGTTCAGCACCAAAACATACGCTGATGCTCTTAGATTCCATCCAGAGAAGAGTCATTCGCCTGGTGGGTGACGCCACACTCACTCACTCTTTGACATCATTGGAACACCGTAGAAAGGTCGGCGACCTTTCACTTTTCTATCGATACTTCCACGGGAAATGTTCTTCGGAAATCTCTGCAATCATCCCTTCACTAGCAATACCAATCAGACGAACTAGACAAGCCCAGTCAGCAGATCCTTTCGTCGTCAACCTCGAAAGATGTCGAACAGCACTTTATCAAGACTCCTTCATCCATAGAACGGCTAGGCTCTGGAATTCATTGCCTGTGGAAGTATTCCCAACAACATATAATCTCCAAAAATTCAAAAAAAATTCCAATACCTACCTCCTGTCCCTATCCTCTCTAGGAACGCACGATGTTCTTTGAACATTATAGAGATTCCCTTTCGTGCGCTCCAATCGATAAAAAAATATATTGGTTTTGTTCTTCTGTGGCATTTCTTCGTGTGCCTACTGAGAGGTATCCCTGGAATATTTTGAGATGTTTCATAAATGTTGGCATTAGGATGTTTTTTTCTAGACATAATATCACATATTCTCTCAACTGTGATAATATGCACCACAAAAACAAGTCTTTGAAGGATATTATAGAAGTATTGTTTTTGTTCTTTGTTTGCCCCACTACAACGTCTCATGCTTATGTCACAATACGATGAATTTTGTTTTTTTTTTGCAATTGCATTACCTCGTTGGTCCCAGCACTGGGACCAAACTCCCCATAAGTCGAAACTTGTGCGGGGTTAGTAGTAGAGTGCAAATCGAATCCTATCGTTCACCCCGTGGGAAATCGGAGGTAAAAAGCTGTGTCATGGCTAGAATTGTTACCTACCATCTCCAGATCACGGATCCACTTGTCGTCAAAAAATCGTTCTGTGCGTTTGGGGGGTAGGGGGTAATTTATAAAAAAAATATGGATTTTTTTATGCGTGGAAAATATTTATGGGTTTCAGAACTTCCACCCTGTTGAATCTTGATTTCGTGTGACAAGTAGAACAAATTATAGAAAATTTTGAAATTTACTAATTACATTACGATATATGCGAGAATCATATTTCAAACGCATATAACTCAAAACTTGTAAATTCTCGTTGAATTGTTTTTCATATACCTCGCATTATCTCAGTAATTATAACGTTTATCAAAAAATTACTCGAAATAATGTCGATGCACCTATGTTTCAAGATGCGAATGGTTCTTCGATTTTGAAAATCGAAGCATAAATAAGGAAGATAGATATTGAGAAAATCATAATGCAATGCAGGTACCACGGACGAACGCGTTTCGCCGCATTCGTACCCCTATTCTCCCCGCAATACCCGCGGCTATCATGGTTTCGCTTTCGTTATACACATCAACATTGAAGCGTTGACCATTGCATTTAATGGTGACTTATTGTGAATTAATCATTCGATATTTGGTACTGTGTGCTCTGTTTCAATAATTAAATAAGTATTGATTAGCTAACGAAATCTATTATTGTAAATTTATCATAAAATATAATATGTTTCTCTAGATAAAAGATGGAAAGTACTAGCAATTCAGACACTGATCTTGAATATGTCTTGAAGTTGAAGTTTCCTTTCCAGCAGAGTACAGAATCATCGAGAAAATGTTTCATTTGTGGAAAAGATGGTCAACTCCTTCGTTGTACAGAATTATCGATAAAAACATTTGAAAGTTGTAAGAATATAAGAAAAAACCTCGGAAAAAACTATGCGAGGCAAATCGATATGGAACTTCAGAGAATTGATGATATTTTCAATGAAAATAAAGGTCAATCGATCTTCTGGCACAGGAATATTGAAAACAGGAGACAATAGTGTCAGGAATAAAACGCTTTCTATAGTAAAATTGATGTGAAGGTATTTTTGATGTGTCTAAAAGAATTTTCTACCAAAAAAGTTCAAATAAGAGTCAAGTTTTGACCTAGTATTATTATTATTATAACCAATGCTTTGTATCGAATTGGAAACATTATAGAGGATCACTGATTGAGAATAAAGTTGTCATACCACACATGACAAAGAATTTGATAATCTGATAAAATTAATAGATGGTGCAGATTTTCTAATGAAAAAGGGTATACTTTCAACTGTTTATATCAAAAATATGCCGAACTTGGTGGCAAAACTGGTAGGAAAATCTTAATCGAAGATTACTGTCTGTAAATTAGTTGCCTTATACACGATAAAGTTGATTCAGTTGATTCAAAGGTGTTGAGTATCTGCAGATGTCAAGGTATAATACTCGCTAATTCGAAATTCAAAAAACACACCGAAACACGTTGGTTTGGGAAAAATGATTCATCAAGAGACATGATCGAGAAAAATTATCGTAGCTTTGTGTTCTTGTGGACACTGTATCGTATTTATGTGTATTCACAACTTCACAATTCGATAGGTATCAAATAATGTTTTTTTCAAGTTTCCACAAGGATATCTTATTTTTATTTCAATATTATATGCATCATGTTTTGTTTCAATATTTGTCAATTTGTTTATAAATGAGATGGTTGTCATTCCACTCTGATGGATAAGAAATGCACTTTCGAGATAGAATCATTCATAAAATAAATGGAGGGCACTTCCAATCAAACTGCAAGTAAAAATAAATTTCTGTTAACTTGGAAAATAGCGATCAATTCCTTTTCTCCCGTGAATTCCAAGATCGTACTATTTATTCTGTAACACTCAGTAATTCATATTTACGGTGATCGTACTAGGACGGCCGCGGGCGTTGCGGGGAGAATCGGGGTATGAAAGCGGCGAATCGCCGTCCTTCGTACTACCTGCATTGTATTATGATTTTCCCAATATCTTCCTTATTTATGCTTCGATTTTCGAAATCGAAGAACCATTCGCATCTTGAAACATAGGCGCATCGACATTATTTCGAGTATTTTTTTGATAAACGTTATAGTTACTGAGATAATGCGAGGTATATGAAAAGCAATTTAACGAAAATTTACAAGTTTCGAGTTATAGCCGTTTGAAATATGATTTTCTCATATCGCTGCCCCAGAAGAATTCTGACGCAAATGTAAAAAAGGTAATTTCACAGGAGAAGGAAAAAACGAAATTCGAATTTCAATTTATCGATTTCCTAACAAACCATTCCATTTATATGGTTGAATCTCTGGTATTTTGGAGGCATACCTTCTTATTTCATTGTAGTATTATTAAAAATCTCATATCATGAAATTTGATATGCATATTTGAAGTTATGTCGTTATTCATGCAGAATAAATAAAAAACATCAGATAGTTAGGTCAATACTTCAATGTATTTCCTCTTGGTGATGAAAACAAAAATAAAGAAGGATAAACTTAAAATGAGATATTCTGTTCATTTGGTAGCAAGAATACATTTGGCAGCAAGAATAGGAGCTAGAATTTGCTAAAATACATTCGAAACAAATCAAGAATAATTTTTTAATCATGTAGATACTCATACCAGTCATTCCGATACGATAATTGCACTCAAGTAGGCTATAATCGTGATTTTAACAACTAAAACTATCTCTGGATTTTCAAACATCTTCAAGAAACAAAAACAATACTCGAATGATCATATAGGTATGTTTCAAAATCTGAACATTCGTGAATAAATAACAAAAAACAGGGTATCGTTATCAGTTTGTAACTGTATCATAAAAATATCTGTAAAATTTGGGAATGATATTTGCTTCGATAAGAGATTTGAGATCTTTTCTTTTGTTCTCAGAAATTTTTATATTTTCAGAATATGCATGTTTGAGGGTAACTGTTTCAATATCTTTCAACTCAGAACGTCTTCTTCTCGGCCAGAAAGAAACAAAACTCCACTCCTCTTGCTTGTAGCTTGTCTTGAAACGGAATACGTCAGCACCTCTTTCAAATTGCATAATTCGAATATTGTTGATTTTGAAATCATTACCATCTATATCTCTAGAGATATTGATACCCATGTCGTCGTATAACGATTTTATATCAACAAAATCTGCATATCCCATTTCTTTAACTTCGACTGGGTTTCCCTTCTTCCTAGCATTTTGAATGACTGTGATGTACTGGTCTGGCACGTAGATGGGTCCAGATTTCTTTGTTCGTTTTAGAGCCCTTTCTATGACACTATGTATTGCGTCTCCTTCATTTTGAGTATGACCGCGAATTAAGTATTTATGTGTTATTGATTTGATATTAAATCGTCCTACTGCATATAAATATGCACCGATGAGGAACCTGAAATAAATAAGAGAATCACAGTCTTCTTTGATCAAGCATTATTCGAAAAAACTTCACAAACCTATTTTTTTGTTGTCCTCCACAATTGTCTGAATAAAAGATCACATCCATTCCAGGTGTGTTTTCTGATATTTCTTGAAGATAATTCAGAACACAAGTCCCAATCTCTATTGCTCCTCTGTGACCGAGTCCTTTATGCCAGAAAAATGATTTTGTTTGGTCATTACCTATGTTTGTGATCTGAAAACATAAATGAAACTACTCAGTTAGCGTATACAGTTCCAGAATTTCATACTCACCGTGAAGTTATAACAATTGAGGCGACTTTTGTAAAAAAATGCGGATGTTTGGCCCATGGGTACAGGCAGAACGGCCTGCAAATCATAAACGGCCAGAATTACTCCATGTTCTTTTGCCTTCTCTTTATCTTCAGTTTTAACTTTCCTACTAAGATCCTTCTCTTCTGAGTGTTTGTTGTACTTTTCCTCTAATTTGATTCTTTCATCATTGCTCGCGTTTTTATATGATTCGCATAGATCACATTGATCTTTTTTTGGAGAGAAGAACCCTATATTGTATTCCGTGTTGAAAACTTTAGCGTATGTATCGTAACTGCAACTTCTCTATTACAATAGGTTCTCTCTTCTGAATAGTTCCTGTGTAGTTCAGCTATACAGAGCCCTCCATCTATATACTGCCGAGAAGTATCGCTCCTTACATAGTGACTTTCAATCCTCGGAATGCTATCAATATGGTTTCTGATTGAATTCAAAATCTCGTCACTTGTTTTTTTATGATTAGAATGTTTTCCACGTTTGTCTGTGACTATCATTCCAGATCCGTTTAATTTTGATGAAATTACGGTTCGCAAAGTTCTCTCTGATACTCCCAATGTATTCAATAAGAATGTTTTGCAGACTCTCATTTTCTCACCGTTATTACGTAAATAGAATGCACAGTTTGGTTTCCTTGGATTAGCTGCGGAAATTCTTCTATAACTGAGTTCTAGTTGCTCAACACATGCACCTAAAAAATCACGCTGTTGCTGTAAGCATGCCAATTCCCAAAAATCTTCAAAGAGTTTCCTTCTGAAATCTTCTGAAAATTTGTCAGCGCGCTTTAGAACACACCTGACTGGACACGGTGGTTTCATGCTTTTTGCCTGAACAATATTACCACTTTTCGACTGGTATTCTTTTCCAGAATTTTTCTGTCTCTTTGCCTTTTCTTTGGCCCATGTCTCAACCCTCTTGACACGCTTTTTGCCTTTTACTGGGAACTCGGGTTCCTCAGCAGGTACATGCACTGGTGGATCAGCGATTTTGGGTTCTTCAGCAGGCATAGACACTTGCGGATTAGTTCTCTCGAGTTCCTCGGCCGGCACTGCAGGATCAACGATTCTGGGTTCTACAGGGGGCATAAGCACTCGTGAGGAAGTGTTTTCGGGTTCCTCAACCGGCACTGGTGGATCGGCGATTTTCGGTTCCTCAGCAGGCATAAGCACTCGTGAAAAAGTGCTTTTGGGTTCCTCAGCCGGCACTGGTGTATCAGGACTTTCGACAGTTTCGGAATCCGAATCACTTTCGCTAGACGGTTCATAATTATCGCTTGAACCTGAGGAGAATGGATCTTCTTCTGATGAACCGCTATTTTCGTTGTATGATGATACTATGATTTTTCGAAACGACAGCTTAGTCCCAACTTCATTGCTCTCAGTACTATCATCCTGTAATGATAGTTTACTAACACCAGGTTTGCTGATTGTTTCTGATGAAAATTCAGTCATATGTTGCATATCATTGAGTTGATCTGAGCCGTCTAAAATATCATCACGAACAGGTTGCTCAGTATTCGATACATTCTCTTGATTGAGATCAGGATTATTATTTCTTTGATCTGGCCCTAGCAACACGACTTCCGCATCAAATGATTTGTCGTATCGGTTTGCTGGTGTTGTTTTAGCCTGTTCTTCAACATGCTTGTTCAATTTTCGGTTTTGTTCTTCGAGTGCTTCGAATATCTTATCCGCTCGATAACTCATGATTTTCTGGTAGACAAATCCACGTTGATACTAAAATGAGTGGAGGATATCAATATCTATATTTTTAAAGCATCAATGATAATCACTTCTACTTTTTCTTCCATGAGGAATCAAACAACATTATTTTAATCATCTACATGTACAAAGAATCATAATGAAAAAGTTGAAATTCCATTTATAATTTCTATCATTTTTCTTTATGTCACATAAATAACATATGGGAGCTTCCAAGTTCTTAGATGAATTGTCCGAAAGAACACTTAGGTCGTTTAGAATCTCGATAATCCGAAGTTATATAGACTGAAAGTTCAATTAGGGTGAGAACCAGATGTTATTTCAGAGGAGAAAACGACGCTTGAGATAGTTATGTCATTATTTCTCTATTATTGAAGCAGAAACATGACGCAAAATACATTTGAGTCATTCTTCTACTGTAGCACGGAATGTTAGTTACACTTACGTCAATTAACATAAAGAATTTTCGGAAGATCAATGACACAAAATACACTTACGTCGTTATTTCTCCAAAATTATGCATCAAACATCACATCTGATATACGCAAGTTGCATTTATGGCGTTTTTTCACCGGAAAAAAATAATGCGCATCCACTCACTTCAGAAGACTTCTCACAACTGACCGTTGCGGCGGTTTTCTTCCGTTAACATGGCGCCAAATGACACGAATTCAATAACGACGTAACTTACATCTAGCGGTCAAATATTTTACTACAATTCTGACAATTTTTTTCCAGATAGAGGCGACTTTTCTCTACTTGCTGATGGGTGTAACTCATTTAGAAAAAAATTGCAGTTACGTCATTATTCTTCTGGGGCAGCGATATATCGTAATGTAATTGGTGAATTTCAAAAAATTTTCTATAATTTGTTCTACTTGTCACACGAAATCAAGATTAGACAGGGTGGAAGTTCTGGAACCCATCAATATTTTCCACGAATAAAAAAAAATCCATATTTTTTTATAAATTACTCCCTACCCCCCAAACGCACAGTACGATTTTTTGACGACAAGTGGATCCATGATCTGGAGATGCTAGGTAACAATTCTAGCCATGTCACAGCTTTTTACCTCCGATTTCCCACCAACTTTTGATCTAAGCGACTTACGGTTCGTTTGGCACTCTACTATAGATAATACAAACACAAACGTCCATGGCCTAACTAGGATTCGAACCTATTTCTCGGTGGAAGTCCCCATACGAACTCAGCGCATTCACGCTCTCGACCACCGAGCCTGATTTTGTTGTATTTGTTAGCATATTCGCCTCGGCATTCGCGTTTGCAGCGTCTTTTTATTCCATTTTAATAATACCAATCACGACCTCCTATTTTTCTCAAAACAGAAGCAACGACGGTGTATTATTCATTCTAATCAAAAATGACAATCAATCGTCCATAATCCGTAATAATATTTCAAACAGCACATAATATTTTACGAATATTTTAACAACGTTGGTACATATTTTAGAATATTCTAATAGAATATACGTCCTCAGATTGCTCACATATAATATTTTAATCCTGCGATGGCAACAAATATTCCATGAACATTCAATTTGAAATAACCTCAGAATATTCTGAGAATATACAGAACCGTATCAAAATATGATATGGATTTGTTGAAAAGGAATATTCTCAGATAAATTATGAACATACAAAAATGGATATATATTTATATAAAGCAATACATTGAGAATTCGCATTCTCTATGTGATGAAAATATCAACTCTTTTTCAGTTTATTCAATAGAAAACAGCTACTTTCCTGGCTATTTATGCCACGACGAACATTGAATTATATCTATTGAACACACACGACGATAGATAGATATAATTCAATGTTCGTCGTGACATATAACCAGAAGAATAGGTAGTTGTTTTCTATTGAATAAACTGAAAAAGAGTTGATATTTTCATCACATAGAGAATGCGAATTCTCAATGTATTGCTTCATATAAATATACAGTGTGTCCCACTTACCATGCTTACCATGGGTATCTTTTTAACGGTGAGAGATACGAGGTCGGTTAAAGACACCAAGTGGAGTTTGTCAAGGCCAACTATAATGTGAAAAAGTATTTTGATAAAATCTATTCGTTTTTGTTTTATACGCAAAAACAGATTTTGATCATTTTCATGTCTCCTCCGTAACTTCTTTATTTATGAAAATATTCAAATAGGAATTTCAGATTCTCATGGCAGTTTTTCAAAGTGATTTCGAAAAAAATATCAAATTTATACCAACTCTTCTAGAATTTGAGATATCAGCACCGACTTTAGTTTTTCAAATGTAGGTCTAGCTCACATCGATTTCCTCAGCGGAAAAAGCTCTTTGCTGTGTCCATGAAAAGGCTATAAAAAATGTATTTTTGTGACATCCCAAGGATATATTTATAAATGCCGCCTGCGGACATGGCTGTTGTATGGAAGTTTTATTCATGCTAGTAACAGGACATCGCAGTGGAGATTCAATGTCTCGACATCTCGTACTTTTAACATCTCTGAGATGTTTCTGTGCTCGCTGGGCGGCATCTGAATTAGAGAATCTCGCTCTCTACTCTACTGGAATTCAATTGAAAAAAATACAGGGTGCTTCAAGATTCAGAATTCTGATCACCATGTATCTATTCCAATCAAATGTCAATGGTTAGTGAATCGAAAGATGGGAACATGTATAAGCCGTTTTGATCGATAATGAATAGTTTCGACACAAAAAAATTCTAAAATTGAAAAATCTAGATTTTGAATAGTGATTCACATGAGACCAACGAGACGAGACTTTCATAAAGTCTCGTCTCGCCTCGCCGATGAAATATGAAGTACGGGAGTCTCGCAAATGTATCGCAATTTCGTCATGCATAATCTTGTTCCAGTCTAGTACGGGATATTTACCTTTTCCTACTTTTTAGGTATTATGTAGAAGTAGGAAGAGAACATTACAACAACAAAAAATAACATTATCTATTGAAAAGTAGGTACATAATAATACAAATGAGGTACATACTAGCATCATGCATCTAATCGATAAAAAAACATAGCATTATTTATTTGAGAGTTATAAAAATAAAATAGAGAGTAACACGTACATTCAGAACGAATAAACAAAACAAAAACTTTAATCCAACATTATTCCGCCATTAGAGAGAGAAAAGTCCGTTTTCGATCCACGCATTACGTCGTTTTACAACAATCATGGATTGTGATTGTGTTGTTAAAGTATTTATGAATTAAATGTTTTGTCTTTCTGTGCTAAATAGTCTGAATTCTTTTTAAATTTGTTGTATTATGAATGATATTCTCAAGTCTGCAGTCGCCCCGCAAAAATATTTACCTGCGAGACTCTCGCACGAGACACGAGAAGTCTTGCAAGAGACTCGAGACGAGACCAATCAAAGTCTCGTCTCGTCTTGTCTCGAAAACAAGATGAGACCATACGAGACTCTCGAAAACGAGACTTTCGCGGGCACCACTAATTTTGAACACCTTATATCTCTGTAATCATTCCTGCTAGACCACAAGTGTGCTAATTTGATGAAATCAGCTCTTCAGGAAGAATCTAAAAATGCAATAAAATACAGGGTGTTCCATTCGAAATAACGAAGTTAATAGTTGTTTCTGATAGAAGTGGGAACACTGTATCGATATTTAAAATATTTTAGACGGATAGGAAATATTCAATCATCAAAGCATCCCAATTTTCAGAATGTTTTGTATTTTCGTTCTCCAGATACTTCTAATTGGCCATTCACCGTGGATCACCCTGTATATGTATCATGTTTAGTGGGACATGAATCACCCTGTATCGTTCCTCCGAATGTGACGAGAGGATATGGTAGCGATGTGTCTTTCGTCGTTCCGTTACGAGGTGCGAGGAAAATGCTCGAGTTTACTTTATCCGCAGGATTCGGGTGAAAAAAGAAAAGTTTATTGCTGGAAAGACAGAGAGGAAATTGTGCCACATGCGGGGAAAGGCATCGATAAAAAGAAGTAGAGTCTGCATGAAAAAACAGATACAAATAGACTTCATATTGGGAGCGATGAGATATTTGTGAGCGGAACAAAACTTCACAGCTTTTTGTAAGAGATTCGATTAATGCATTCTTTGATGTTGAATAATCTTTGCTGGAAGTAATTTATGGATGGAAATCATTCTTTCTTAAAATATATAGAGCGTTAGGTATTTTTCGACAATATATGAATATAATTCAAGAATATTCTTTTCAGAACTTGAAATATTATTGAATCATTATACCGTAATATTTAGTAGAAAACAACTATTAGGTATACTCTTGGCAAATAGGTACCTACACAAAAAAAGAATCTCTTGTATGGAGCATGACTGCTTTGGTCCAAGAAATTAATTTGTTTGTATATAACGAAAGAGATGATATTCTTGTTCCGAAACAATAATTCAGTCAAGTCTCTTGTAGGAGAATTAAGATATTCATATGGTTGGAGACGTTTGTTATGTTGAAGTGAGAATGGAATTAATTCATATCGACAAAACCATTTACTTTTTTCAGAAAAACCAAAATTTTGAGGTATGAAATCCATCCACCAAGGAAAAACAATCATTTTCTCAATTTGCAACTATGAATTACTATCAGTGAGAATTGTTCTCTTCCATTTCAAAATGAACGATTTATTTCAGTCAAAATTCCGCCAATTTTCAATGAACACGTTGATATTTTCGATCCGAATTTATGAGTTTTTCAATTCTCTCCAATGGGAAAATTTTTTGTATCAAAATATTGACTGCTAGTTAAAAATATAATAATGTTTTTGATTCAAAACTGTGAATGATTCCTAATGAGATAACTGAACTCCACAGAATATGCGGGAAAAATATATTTTTGTTGTTTTACTTGACAATAATCCCATGTATAGGTACATCTTGGATCAGTATAGTCCATCAAGACCCAAAATGTTATATAATAATCACATACATTGATTTCGTCTTCTTGAAGGTCAGAAACAATGAC